AACGAGAAGATAGAAACTTTGCATTGCCGGAATATTTATTTATTAGAACACGATTGATGTCGAAACATAGTAGATTCAGGTTGAATCTGCAGTATCTGTTCTTCCTTCTCAATGATGCTAACTACCGACAGTTGAAAAGTGGTATCTATTATACGATGATGGTTACTAACCCACGAGAGAGATACACTGCTGGTAGATACTTGAACGAATTGAAAGGTTACCAATTAGAATCGAATTTAATGAGTATTTTCGCAAAATTGAGAAATACGGATCAATTTTGGCGACAACCGTCCAATAATGTAAAATGCATGACTTTGCATTACGGTCCAGCGACGTGGTTTTTGACTTTGAGTCCTAGTGAATGGAAATGGTCCGATTTGGGTGAATATTTACGAGATATGAATCCCGATAAAGAGAAGTTAGGCATCAACGAACTAATCGCATACGATCCTGTAAGTACTTCTAGATTCATGTGCATAAAATTCAAAGCCATGATTGATTTTATTTGTTCGTCCGATAATCCTATAGGAAAGGTTATTCATTACTTCTGGCGACTGGAATATCAACGTAGAATGCAGCACATGCATTGTATGATTTGGATAAAAGATGCTCCAGTATTAGGAAAATCGCCGGATGAAGAAGTTGCTACGTTTATTCAAAAATACGTAACGTGTGAAATTCCAGATGAAAATGTTTCGCCAACGTTGTACGATACGGTAATAAGTGATCAGAATCATAAACATAACTCGTATTGCATGCGTACGAAAAAAACGGAAACTAATATATACAGAAAGTGTCGGTTCGATTTTCCTCGGCCAGTTACTGAGAATTTCGTTTTAAGAGACGTTATCACTTCGATAGTCGGTAGAAAAAATTTACGCAGTAAGAGCAGATTGTACGATCTTCCTCGCAAGGAGTCGGAAAGGTTTATAAATGATTATAATCCGTCTATCAAATTAGCCTGGAAGGGAAATATGGACATACAATTTATTAGAGAAAAATCAGAGTTTTTAAACTCATATTTAACAAAATACACGACAAAGTCGGAAAAATGCAATACAGACTTTGAAGTGATAGATTCGAATAAGTCCTTGGCATCGAAACTGTGGAATTTTGCAATGCGTTCATTAAATAACAGAGAATGCGGTGCTTTAGAAGCTGCGGATACACTATTAGGGAATCCCTTGTACGGTACGGATAATGATACCATGGTCAAATGGATCGATGTTAATGAGGTGAGAAATAGAAAAGTTAAAACATTTAATGAAATTTAAGCTCTTGATGAAAATTCTACGAATATTTACTGTTCGTCACTCATCGATGATTACTATCCAAATAGACCTCAGGAATTAGAATCATTGAATTTGTACGATTTTGCCAGATTCTGGGAAATTACGAAACAGATGTCAAATAATGACGAAGTCAAGTGTTACAAACTGGCATCGGGTTTATTTTTAAAAAAACGAAAAAAGGGTTATTTAATTAACCATTATCGATTTAATATAAAAACTGAGCCCGAAAAATACTTTTACTCGCTGCTTCTTCTGTTCAAACCATGGAGAGATTTGAGTGAACTCAAAGGTACATTCGAGACTTACACGGATGCCTTTAAGAATTCAGAGTCTGTTTTAACGAAGGTAATGAAATATCACGAAAGGCTCGAAGAAATACAGAAAGCTTTTGAGAACGTTGCTGAATTAATCGAGAAGCGCGAAAATGATCTGAAAACAGCAGACAGAGACAAATCCGATGACGATGAACTGGATTGTAATCCGATAGAAGCTGACGACGCGATGAAAGATCTGGAAGATTTTGGTAAGATTGACGACCCGATTGATTTATCGCAAATGATGTCGCAATTGAACAAAGACCAGAAAAGAGTCTTTGATGGAGTATGCCAAGTTTTACAAGATAAGAATCAGATTCTGCGACTGTACGTAAGTGGCGAGGGTGGTACAGGGAAAAGTTTTCTAATTGAAACGATTAAACATTGGATCAGAATAAATTTGGAAAAAACGACTGCCATATCTGCTCCCACGGGTATCGCAGCATTCAATATCGATGGCTTGACAATCCATAGAATGTTTCAACTACCGGTTAGTCATGAATCTACACCAAAATATACGCAATTGTCAGACATGGTCTTGAAAACTTTGAGAGACAAATTAAAGAATGTCGAATTATTTATAATCGAAGGAATTACATGTAACAATGCAATGATGGATTTAGGAACGACTGTATTCAGTGATGGTCAAGCCTATGTAGGTTTGTCACGAGTAAGTAAATTGGAAGGCCTACATTTGATAAATTTCAATCCAGCATCAGTTAAAGCAAACTCGAGAGCCATTGTAGAATATAATCGACTGAGATCTATATTCAAATCTGAACTGCCACAAATCAATCCGTCCGAGAAAAAGGTTGTGAAAATGTACGATCGTCGATGGGATATCCCTAATATCATTGATGATATGCAGAATTATGATTGTGAGGAACCAGAAAGTATAGTTACGTGGAAAATATATGGCCTTTGCAATAACGATGCTGTTTCGTGTTACGCTAATGTAATATTACAATGTGCGTTTCATTGCGTACGTATTAGGCAACAAATACTGAAAAATAAAGCATCGAATGCATTGACTGATGCTATCTGCGCGTATGGTGAACGTAAATATTGCAACATTCAAGCGGTTAGAAGATCTGTCGGAAAACGCTTCGAAGAACGAACACAACAAGATGTTTCGGAATTTTTTACGGCTCTAATGTCGACGTATTCCGACATCAATGATGTATTAAAACTCGAATTAAAGCACGTAACATGTTGCTCGAATGTCAAATGTAATTACAATGTAACTAAGCTGGAAAGCAGTAGTTTGTTAATATTACCTATACATTCGACATTAAAAAGGAAAAAAGGTGTCACTCTACAAAGTTTGATTAATGTAGAATTTTCTAAATGGGAAACGATAAACGGCAATTGTAACGAATGTAAGGGCACCGTGTTAAAAAAGAAAACCGTAATCGAATCAACTTTATCCGTCGTAGTAATACAGCTCAATTTATATACTTTTATAAACGGTGCTTCTAAAAAAATTATCAACAATCGAATGACCGCCGTGCCGACGAGTAATATCACGATTAATAAAAAAAAGTACAAGCTAATAAGCGCTATATTTCACGAAGGTGAAGAAATGAATCGTGGTCACTACACGTGTATGTTGAGAGCTGACACAAAATCGGAATGGTATTACTCTAATGATATGGAAGTGTTCAAGAAAAAATGGCCCAAAGGAGCACAAGGGGCATAAATATTGTTCTTAAAACAGATTAAATAATGGCGCTGTATAAAGGCTGCCGTAAACGCTACATTAAAACATCAACTGTTCTAGCGCTGTATAAAAGTTGCCGTAAGCGCCAAAATAAAATATCGGCTGCTCTGGCGCTTTATAAAAGCTGCTGTAAGCGCTGCATTAAAACGAGTGCAATAAGTTTCTAATTTGACCTAGGCTTCATGACATTTCAAAAAGTATCATCAAGAAAAAAATTATCAGACAGAAATATGTATGTCGTGTTAAAATCGGAGAGACGAAGAAAAATATATGGTTGCGTTCTCACGAGAATGGGCGATGGAGGGGCCCATTCTTTATTTTCAATATTCATACAAGAATATAAATTCATTCTGTTGCAATTGAAATAAATGTGCAATGTATCGTTAAAAGTTATTACAATTATACAAACATTTACATATATGATTAAATAAAATATATATGTATACTATAATATAATTATATATTTTATATATGTACATATATACCATATATTTCAATTATTTTGAACTGTATTGCATAAATTGTTACTTATACAAAGTTATGTGATAAGAATCGAAAATACATATATTTGTAATACTTGAATTACTAGAAAGCTGCTCTATATATCTGTACTTTAAAAAGTAAGTGATATCCTAAAAAAATCATAAAAATGAAAAGGTCAGGCCATGTTCAAAAGAAGGTACTCAAAAATTTAAACGATCTAATAATAAATTATCACGAAAAGTAACTGATATGTTATTCAAGGTGCCAGTTCAAAGTGAACATACGTAAAGTGTATATTATCTAAATTTAGTAATAATATATTACCATGAAAAGTAACTGTGATATTTTATTCAAGGTGCAAGTTCACATTGAATATACATACATATAAGTAAAACTGATTACAATTTGATTCTAGAAAATAAGTGCGATATGTTATTCTTAGTGCACAATATATAATAGTCGTTTATAGAGATTTGATTTGAAATTCATACTAGCCCGTACAATGAAAAATAATTGCTCGTAATGCCAGAGTACCAATTTGTTAATGACTCAGAAAAATAACATGGCGGCCTGCTCTCAAAAAACTATGATGTTTCTCGATGTCCATTTAGAAATAATGTCAAAGCTTTTACAGAATAATTACTACAACATTTGAAATACGAAAAGTATTACATTAGAAGAAGATTAGATTAAAATAAGGATTCAACGTATTTTTAGCTTTTCTTCTAGCTTTTCTTATCCTACGTTTTCTTATATACTATTTTCGCAACCTTACGTACTCCTTAACCTAAGTTTGACCTCCGCTTCCGGTTATTGTTACCCTTTCTCACTTCTTTTACTCGTTCTCTCTCTCTCCCTCTCTCTCTCTCCCCTCTCTCACACACACCCTCTCCCTCTCTCTCTTCCCTCATCTCTTACCCTCTCTCTTCCCCTTATCCTCCTTTCCCATTCTTCCCATCCTCCCCTTCCCCCTCCCCTCTTGCTTTCTCTAACCTTTTTAGCCACGCTTCTCCTTCTCCCTCCTCTCCTAACACCTTCACCATTTCCTGCCAGCTCTCTTCCCTTCCCCATTCCATGCATTCCTCCCACACATGCTCCCACGTTTCCAACCCTCTCCCACACATTCTGCATTTCCTCTCCTTCTCTATTTCCCAGTATCTATTTCCCCTCATCCCATTCCCCAATCTATACCTTGCTATTCTCCTCCACCTGTCTTCCTTCCACCCTTTCTTCAGATAGCCCGGTATTCCCTTCCCTTTGACCTGCTTGTACCATCTATTGTATTCCGACTTTTCCATTTTTTCTATCCTCTCTTCCCTCTGCTCCTTCCTTTCCCAGTCCTCAACTTCTGCCCATCTAAACTCCCCTTTTTCTCTTCTTTCCTCTATCTCCCTTATTTCCATCCCCTTACCTTCAAAGAAATCCCTCCATTCTCTCTCCCAATCTGACAATTCCCCTCCTTTCTTTGCCCTTTCTTTGATCTCCCCCAAACATACCTTTGCCAGCTACCCTCTCTTACCCTCCTCTAGTCTCTTCTCATACCCCCACGCCCTTCTTCCCATCCTTGTCCTTATCTTTTCCCTCTGCAGCTCCTCCCTTACCATATAACCAGGCGTTCCTTCTTGCCTCCCATTCCTTTGTATTATATATCCTAGATACTTATACTCCTTAACCTCCTCTAGTTTTTTTCTTTTCCAGACCCAGCTAGCCTTTTTTAACCTCCCTCCACCCTTCCTGCACCTCATCACCTTCGACTTCCTCTCATTCAATTCCAGTCCCTTTTCCTCCAGATATCTCCCTAATCTTTCCATCATGCATCTCATCCCCCCCTCATCCTCTGCCATCAATACCACGTCATCCGCGTATGCTAACGTGTAACATTGCCATTGTTTTTTTTTTTTTTTTTAGAGTCAGGAAATTTGCCTAAACCAAACTTCGCGTTCCGACCCTTGAGGGAGGGCCAGGAGGCTTCGTGGTGGATTCCCGCCTGTAGTATCCCGAGGGACTATCGGACGGGGTACCGACCTAAAACCTGACTATAGCCCCTGGTCGTTGACGGGTATTGTCCACCGCGGAACCGCTAACGCATTACTTCACGGTGGACACCCATGACTTGGTCCTGTGAAGAACACATCCCCGGACAACTAGGTTGCCCGTCCAATACCATCACCCCGAGAATGTTAAATAGGAGTGAGCCGGGCTATCAGCTCACCCCCGGCCATTCCGAGGCCAACGTGCAATGGAATTGGAGCCCCCACTCCTCTCCCTGCCGGCCTGGTTGGCGAGATGACCGCAGCCATCAAACCCCACATGAATTGACGTCACAAGACGTCACCAACTACGTGGACAAACATGTATACACATATATACACGATCCACAAAAGAGACCAAATAAGGGCCACAGGCCCAGCCCTCTAGGGGCCAACAGTGAGGCACAGTGGCCGACCACAATGAAGGTGAGAGGGTTGTTACTCCCACCTATGAACGAAAGACAACAAGACTAAACAAAAACATGAACTTGGCGTGGGTGAAGAGGCCGCGGAGTCACCTTGCGGCAGCCTCCCCGACACTCAAACATCCATCGCCGCTACCTACAAAACATAAACTTGGAGGAGCAGGGAGACCACGGAGTCACCTTTCGGCAACCTCCCCGGAACCCCCCGCATCCACCGCTACATACTACAACTAGTGACAAAAAAAAATTTTTTAACATTGACCAACTATTTGGATGAGATCTGCGCCACGTGCAATGCAAATCCACCCAGCCCACATTGAGGGCAGCGTGCAATGACGTACAGATACCCTATCTGTAATGTCTGCTGTTCCTCAATGTGAGGTATCCCGATAAATTGTACCGAAAGTACCAACAAAAATGAAGTTGGCTGACACGCATTAAGAAGAAGACGTGTCAGCCTCAACTGGATCAATCAGAGGAGGGTGAGAGAAGGGCAGCCTGCAACCTCCTCTCATCCTCCTCCTTACAGCGCATAATAGTATTGGCATACTGACTGAACGCAATCCATTTGTCCTCAGATGTTAGTATTTCCTTTATGATATTTTCTAGGTTGAGAGAGTCAATGTCCAAGTCCAAAACACTTAACAAACTATCGCGCTCAAAGAGCCACTCGCGACAATGAGTCAATGTGTGTTCACTGGTATCATCACGGTTAGTACACTGCTGACATCTAGGTGAAGGTCTCTTCTTAATCCTAAATAAATAATGGCCGAAACAGCCATGACCTGATAATATTTATGTAATGTGAAAGTCAACATTACCAAACCTTCTTTCAAACCACTGCTTCAGAACAGGCTTGATGGCCATCCTAGTAATCTCCCCCGGAGCTCCGTGTCGTCTGATGGTAATTTCCCACTGGCGTAGCATTATTATTTCCTCTTCTTCTTTGATTTCCGCAATAAATTGCGGCTGCCAATCAGGAGTGTCTCTCAGTTCAGATACGCGATAATACACACGCCTCCGGCATGATGCTAGAAGCGGCCAAGGAGGGATCCCAGCAATCAAACAGGCCGCCAAGTAGGATATCGTACGATAGCCCAAGATGACCCGTATAGCCGTCCTACGCTGAAGCGCCTGCAGCATACGCGTCTCCTTATAAGGTGCCACAAAATATTTATCTGCCCACACTGGGGCCGCGTACATTACGATAGATGTAATTACACTAGCATATAATTTTCTTTTCCTAGCTATAGGTCCTCTAAGGTTTGGCATCAATCTCGCTAATGATCTTTGGGTTTTTGAAGCCTTTTCCTCAATGTAGCGGAAATGATCAAAAAATGACCATTTACTGTCTATCATAACACCAAGGTATTTCATGACAGATTCTACCTTTATTCTGGAGTTGCCACACGTGATAAAAGGTCTGTCACGTGGCTCTCTATAACAGAAAAGTATTGCCTCAGTTTTTTCTTCAGCTACGTCAAGTTGGATAAGGCGAATGTAGCGGAGGACTCTAGCCAACTGAATATCAGCCTTAAGCACTGCTCTAGGAATGGTTTCAGCAGCAGAGACAATCAATGTGTCATCTGCATAGCAGATCTAGTTGTAAGCGAAGGACATTATCGAAGGCTAGGTTCCAGAGCAGAGGTCCCAGAACAGAACCTTGCGGCACACCAGAGTCCACTTCTCTTTTATGCAGGCCACCATTTCCGTCTTGATAAATAACGTACCTATTACGTAAGTAACCGCTGATAATGTTACGTAGATAAACCGGGATATTACGTTCGCGCAAGGCATTTGCAATAACTCCCCAAGGGACAGAGTTGAACGCATTCTTAATGTCCAGGCTAACCGCTATAGCCTTCTTGCCCTCCTCAAGCGCAGAGGTTGTATACTGCCTAAGATCCATGTAAGGAAATTCCATTACATTTCCTCGGATTAATTTAAAATCTCCCGGTAAAACGGTCGGTAATACGGGTATCTAGATGTGCAAAGAAAAATTAATAGAGGTTAGAAAAGAGAAACCCACGTGGAGAGAAAATACGGTGAATAAAATTTAATTTGACAAAGTGTTATTATAATAGAATCAGTGAATAAGAAACATTGAATGTTGTTTCTTTGTTTTTCAGGTGAGGGTTGTAAATAGTCTTTTAAGTTTGAATTAATAAAAAAAATTTACAAACTTTGTTTTTCAGAGAAACTATTCGATATCTTATTTTGACTATTCCCGAATAAGAGAGTTATAGACGCATTATAAAACAACATTCTTGTTGAAAATTTATACAAAATGGAGAAGTTAAGATTCGACTTTATGGTAAGAGGATCAACAGACGGAAAATCGAACATATTGTGCTTAACCTCAATAGGAACACCCGATGATCGTTCTTTCGGCTTCTCAGAGGAATATCAGCCAGCACATTTACACACAGAGCTGATAAAAACACAAATATTTGCTAAAGTGAAGAATTCATTAAAAAAAAGACACCAATCAAGAAAAGTATGGATTGGTTTATCAGAAACCTTAACTAAAGTGTATTTGGATGAAGAAGAAAACTTACAATTTGGCGATTATTATTTAGAAGAAATCACAGAGAAAAAAACTACTACGGCATCTGAACCTAGTTCTTCAGAGGAAATAATGAGAAAAATATTGGAGAAATTAATGGAAGAGAAACAACAAAAATCCGAAATAAAAAATCTAGGAAAAATAGCACAGGATTTTATGCTTGAAAAATTCACTGGAAAAACCTCCAATGCCCACCAATGGATAAATGAATTTGAAAGAGAGTGCGAACGTTTTGAGATAAATGAAGATAGAAAGAAGATCGAAACTTTAAAATTTTTTCTAGAAAAAGCGTGTGTAGATTGGTACAGCTGCATGCTGATAAAATTTACAGTACAATCAGAATGGAAAGAATGGAAAAAAAACTTTTGTGAAACATTTGCAAACAAAGGGTGGATCCCAATAAGATATGCACTCTCATTCAAATTCCAATCAGGTCCTCTGTTGGATTATGCCATAAAAAAAGAAAAATTATTATTAGAAGTAAGAAAATCAATAGACACAGGAACTTTGATAGATCTCATCGCAGCCGGTCTACCAAACTTTATATCTGATAGGATTGACAGAGAAACTCTGAACGAAACTGAAGACCTTTACAACGAACTAGGCAAACTGGAACACCTGGTTAATAAAAACAGATTTGAAATCAAGAAGAACAAGACTGATAACATAAAAGAAAAAACACCATGTAAAATTTGTAAAGACAATAACAAAGGCACACGTTATCACCCGGAATCAGCATGTTGGTTCAAAGATAAAGAAAACAAAATAAAAAATGTCAATAACGCCGTCCTAGAAATGGAACTAAATTGCAATGAGCAAAAAAACTAATAATTCCACCATTGATCGAACTCAAGATATTACTAAATGAGACATTGGAAGCAACTGGGATATATGATTCAGGCTCGAATGTTTCATTAATAAACTCTAGAATACTGAATCTAAGAAAAGATAAAAATAACAATATAAGAAAAGTAAACTTAAGAACGATTAATGGTGTGAACCAAACCGAAGGCATGATAACAATAAAAGCAAAAATTCTTAATATAGAAAAAGAAATAGACGTTTTTGTAATAAATAACAAAAATTTCAATTATGAATTTCTAATCGGACTGGATTGTATAAAAAAATTTGGATTAATACAGAATGAGAATTTAAAAATAGAACAAAAAATTCCTGACATAACAGACAAAAGAAATACAAATGCTCTTAATACCACAAACAAAAATCCAAAGAAAGAGGATAGAAACCATAAAAAAGCTTGTAAATTTCAAGATGACAAGCTACAACAAATAAACTTTAATGAACATGTAGATACAGATAATTTACAAATCTCAATAAACCACCTAGATCACTAAGAAAAATTAAAAATAGAAAATCTTATA